CGCACTGGTTTCATCGTCAGCTTAAGAGACGCTTCATTAAAAATCCAGTGTAGAGCTTGTGCGTCTGAAAGAAAGTCTATTCCTAGTATTAAGTGTGCTTGCAAATTCTTTACTATAAAAAACATCACCTTTACTTGTTCGTCCTTGTACGGATGTACAAAGGTACTTTACCTACGCACTTACATTGTTCTCCTTGCGCCGCTAATACTGTTGTATTATCCGCATTATATATGCGGTATTTCGAAAATACTTTCTAAAAAAAACTTCTGCCACACAGGAACACTGCGCGCCGGTATCCAGGAGTGCGGTGGCCGGGATATTATTTACCAAGGACTTCAATCTTCGGAAGAGTTAAATTTTCACCATTACTGTATTAACTTGTAGGAAGAGGGGTTTTCGTGGCCTTCGGATTTCCGCACCCTCTCGTCAGCAGAAATCCGTTTTAGTTTAAATTATTTTTTCTTCCGGTGCTCTCCTTTCTCCACTGGCCTTGAGACTTTTTTCCTGGGTTGCTATTGAACTGTCGACGTTCGCCGGCTGTTTTTGAATGCTCGGGTTTCCTTGCCCACTGATTCGCTTTTTCTCCGTAGCCATGTGCTTGAGTTTGCTGTAGTCTTGGCGTACCAAATTGGTTTCGCTGTTGATATTGGCGTCTTCTTTCGACGTCCGCCGTTCTTCTACTTTCAAACTGGATTGCTAGCTCAAATAATTTTTCCAGTGTAGTCGGATTTCTCAATTCAAAAAGTCTTGCACTTGGGGTAGTAACCTCGGCAAAAATCACTTGAATTATTTCAGGATCCGGACGGTTTCCATACAAGAGCTTGAAAACGTGAATTTTTCTTAAAATAAAGCTCGAGAGGTTTTCGATTCTTTGTTGATATATACTGAAAGTTCTGTTTCTAATTTCGCACGATCCTTACAACAGGGAAGGCTTTTAGTAGGGCAGTCTTGAAATTTTCGTAGGTATAGGTGGGACTTCCTGCTTGACCCAAGAGACTTCTGCCGATACATTTGAACCAGTTAAGCGCTTGGCCCCTCAAAGCGCTGGTAGCTAAGGTAACTTTTGAAACTCGTGCACGCACGGGTTAGGAGCATGAAGTGGTCATCCAATTTTTCCAAAAAAACTGGTTACCTGTGAGTTTCCATTAACGTTGCTTCTGGTTTCATCGAAGCGCGCATGGTCTGGACAATATACCCAAATCCTTCCAGGGCGGCAGCTGGCATTTCTGGATTCTGAGCTGCTTTCTGCAGGCAGCACAGGTTCTTCTTGAACTCGGCCATGGTTATTTCTTCGTCGGGCGCCACTATCAGGTTCAATGTTTCTTCTAACCTTCTTCGGAAACATACAATGACCTGACTAGAACAGAGAGCTTACTAAAGCTATGTTCACTAATTGTAGTAAGTAGACAGGATACAGACGAAGGGTATACAAAACCCTTTATTTTTTTTCTTTATATACAATGACTTCCGTACTTCGGAATACAATGACCCTCCACTCGGGGTCTAACTTAAAAGATATCAAAATAAAACTAAACTCTAATTTAACTTTAGAATAAGATTGGCCTTATAATAACAGGAAGCGTATGTAGCACAGAGACTGTGAACACTACAATACGTTTAATTTATCAAGAGGATTAAAAAAACCTCTGGCCTGGAAGGCAAAGTAGCAACTGCGTAACTTCTAAGGTAAGCGGCCTGCTTCGAACTCACGGCTTCCTCTCTTCTGCTTGGCAAAAAGGCCACACTTAAATACTTGGCGTTCGCCAGACAACTTTGCATAAACTCCTTCACGCTTATAATTCTGGCCGGAAGTAGAAAATAAGAAGTGATAGTAAAGATTTAAAATAAAATAAACGTTAGTAAAACTTAAGATCCTTACAAACTATGCTTCGTTTACATTGTAAGGATATTAAATTTTACTAATGTTTATTTTAAAACTTTGCTATCCACTCTTATTTTCCATTTCCGGCCAGAATAAGCGCGAGTAGAATTGTTTATGCTAATGAGGTTACAAACTATATAGTTATTTAAAACATGGCCAAGAGAAGAGAGAGCCTTCTTGCTGCCTTGCCACGCGTGTGCTTTTTCAGTCAGTTCATGTCTGCTTTTAAGGCCAGAACTTAGTTCTCGCTGATATTTGAAGACGTATTGTAGTTTTTGCATTTCGCTCACTACATACGTAGTGTCAAAAGGCCAATCTTCACATTAAAGGCTCTGTAAAGCATTTTAGTTATTATTTTCTATGTTTTAGACCAAAAGTGCTGGTCTCTGTATCCTGAAGTGCGGGAGTGGCTGTACGCTGTAAGAAATAAAGGGTAAAGTTAAACCTTCATATTTGTGTTGTATCTCCTCCACGCACACGAGCATAGTTTGAGTAAGCTTCCTGCTTCCTTCAGGATTACTAAATGTTCCGAAAAGCAATTAGAAGGAATAGCAGTCCTGACAGCATGAATTAAAAATGATAAGATAAAGAGAATAATTATCACACATCTGTATTCGTCAATATCATAGCACTCATTTAAATGACATTTTAGCATTACATAACTCAGTTATATTCACAATTGCATGACCATTTCCCATATATATAAAGCAAATTCTAAAGAACTAGAAATGTTAAGTTTTCTATTAACATGCCTAATTAAATGCAACTTTGAAATTTTCACAAGCCTTATATTTTTATATCAATGTATTCAAAATATTCTATAGAAAGCTTTACTTGTAGTTATAAATAGTTTTTAAAGTTGTTAACTTTGGAAATAATATTTTTTATAACTACAGAAGGGGCAGGGTTATAAATAAGATGCAGAAAATTTATCAAAGACCTTACTTGAATATTCAGAGAAACATAATTCAGTTATGTCATCAGCTAACCAAATTTATACCTGTTTATCTACAGTATCTTTTTTTAACAAAAGAGAAGTTTAGTTTTATAACTCTTAAAATTTCCTCCTTTCCTCTAAATGTCCAGGCATTTAATCCATACCCAGATATTGTATTGTTCATTTCATTATCTTATCACTGAGAACAATACTCAGAGTGCTCTTAAAGGATAGATACATTTTAAACCCACAGAAGAAAACACAAACAACCAAGCTGTTCTAGAAGTTAAATTAAAACCTAATGATATAATAACCAGCACCTGTTATCCATCATACCAACAGAGCTGGTAACATTTTCAGTATAACTTCAATAATTCTCCTGGCCTTATTTCAGAATCTAACTTTTTTTTGGGGGGGGGAGGGGGGAGGTTTTTTGTTTTCCCCTAAGTTTGATTATACTTGTAAATAAAAAGTTATAAAAGTGAAATCCTATAAAATTGATTTGTAGTGCTCCTTTGGAATTCCATATGTGTAAAAATCAGCTTATCTGTTTTTTTCTCTTCAGCCACTCCACTGCATATCTTGATACTTTAGTTTCCTGTGCTATCAAGATAAATAATATGTATTTAAAATCATTTCCTTACCTTTAACAGTTTTAAATAATTTTATGTGAATAAATAGTCTGGGAGTAAAATGTATGTGAATATATGAATTATTCAAGGAATTTTTTTTCATTGATATGAATATTTAATCTGTATTAGTTTTATGAAAGGATTATTTGTTTGTTTATTATATTTAAAGATATAGTACAGAGAAATTTATTGGTGGTGCAAGAAATTGTTTATCTCTCAGAATAATTCAGAATGTATGTTATTCAAGTAAAACATTTTGAAATATTTATATGTCTAATAATTTATTTGGTTTTTATGTTTATTTGAATTACAGTACATCCTGCAGTCAGAATTAGATGACAGTTTTGTGATGTAGTCAATTAAATATTTATTTTCATATTCTTTTTTTAAATGCTCTAATAATTATCTGCTATGGCAAATGATTTCTTTATCACTATATTTTGGGGAAGTCCTCACAGAAAATTAACCCTTTGATGGTTATGAACGAGTTCAGCTCGCAATCGAATCGTGCTTCATAATGCGCGCAAACGAGTTCCGCTCGGGAGCAAGATTTTGACCGAAATGGTTAGTAACGAGCACTACTCGCATAGTGAAATTTTTCCCCAATGCGCGCTGACAAGCTGACTTCGTTCGCCATTATTATTCTGCACTGATTGTGTTTCAAACGAATTATTAAACGAATTTAGTTAGTTTTACTGTCTACAGGTGGCAGTATGAGTTCCATGAATTTCTTTGCATAATGAAGGTGGTTTTTTTTTTTTTTTTGACCTTGTTCATTTTATACGTATTTTGGCGTGGTTTTTAGGGTGTTTGTACAGTAAAATGGCTCAAAAGCGAAAGTTAGATAGTTATGATGATGATTATGATTGTGATACAGAAAGCTTATCAAGTTTTGAATCTGATGAAGACTGAAGACTTTGTTCACAGTATTTCAAGCGATGAGGAAGATTTTTCGAGTGTTCGACAGTGGTGTATAATTGATTCAAGTTCTCACGCTCCTAGCCGATTTAGTTTTACTGGTGATGTAGGCATGAAAGCTTGCGTGACAAATATTTCTGATCCACTAGAGTATTTTGAGCTGTTTTTTACTGATGAGATTATAAATCATATTGTTACGGAAACCAACATTTTTGCTGCTGAAAATTTAAATAAATTTAAGAGCAAAGAACATTCCAGAACTCATCATTGGCGTGAAACTAATTCAAATGAATTGAGAGTATTTTTTGCAATATTAATTTTGCAAGAAATAATTACGAAACCAACTGTAAGAATGTATTGGTCAAAAAGAAAGTTAATTGAAACTTCTAGTTTTTCTAACATCATGAGTTCGAGAAGGTTTGACCTTATTATGCAATTTATTAATTTTGATAGGAATGAAAGCACTGATTCTTCTCATTCTCAGCCAAAACTAAAAAAATATATGGACCGTTTTAAATTACTTACAGAAAAAATTTTCGGAAGTTTATACACCCGAACAAGACATATGTATTGATGAAAGTCTATTGCTGTATAAAGGGAGACTTTCTTGGACCCAATACTTACCTCTTAAAAGGGCCAGATTTGGTATCAAGATGTTTATGTTATGTGAATCTCATAGTGGATATGTGTGGTCTATTATAATTTATGTCGGTAAAGGCACAGATATATCTGAAGAAAATAAAGAATGTTCGTTTTCTACTCAGGTAGTTTTGACATTGTCTAAGCCGCTATTAAACAAAGGATACTGCCTTACTATGGATAATTACTACAACTCTCCCGAGTTAGGGGAAATGTTATTGAAATCTAAAACTGATTTTTTTGGAACATTAAGACCTAACAGAAAAGATCTACCAAAGGAACTGAAAACAAAAAAGCTTAAAAAGGGAGACTTATTTGCCTATCAAAGAGGTAAGATGATGATCATGCGATGGAGAGATAAAAAATATGTTCATTTTATAAGCTCAATTCATAATTCTGAAATCGTAAAAGTCCAAAATAAATTGAAAAATGTGGAAATAGAGAAGCCTAAGATTGCTTTAGATTATAATAATACGATGGGCGGTGTAGATCGCATGGATCAACAAATTGGATACTATGATGTAACCCAATCTCGACAAAGGAAATATTACAAGAAAATATTTTGTTATTTATTGGACATAACAATTTTTAATGCTTTTCAGCTGTGGAAAAAAAAAGGGGGAATAAAAAATCAAATTTGGAATTCAGAATTGAACTAGCTGAAAGAATTGTTGAGAAATATCACACTCATAGACATTTGAAATTAAAACCTGCTGAAACAGTTTCGAATACTTTAAGATTGTCAGCATGCCACTTTCCTGATTATATTCCACCTACAGAAAAAAAGAAAGAACCTACTAGACGATGTGTGGTATGTTGCAGCAAAAATGATGCTAATGGAAAAAGAATTCGCCGTGAAACACGTATGTATTGCAAAGACTGTAATGCCCCATTATGTTCAATTCCATGTTTTAAAGTACGAGGGCTATCCAGAAAGTAGATTACGTTTTGGAATAAAAAAATAAACAAAGTATAGGAAACAAATTTTATTATATACAGATGAAAGCCACACTCAAATACTACTTTTCTACATAGTCACCATACAAATTAAGGCATTTATCGTAGCGATGTACGAGCTTGGAAATTCCTTCGTCGAAAAATTCGGCCGCCTGCGCCTTCAACCACTTCGTTACTCTTCTTGCCTTCCATCTTGCACAAACTTGTGGTAACCAAGCTTTTCGCTGATGATTTCGTGCAACAAACTTTGCGAAATTTGTGGAAAACTCAAAGAAAGTTCCGTTATTGTGAAATTTCGATTTTCACGGACTTTAGCATCGACTTTTTCGAGAAGTTCGGCGGGTCACTATGCTGGGTCTCCCACTTCGATCTTCATCGTGAACATTGGTTCGGCCATTTTGGAATCTTATGACCCACTGACGCACTCCACCTTCAGTGATAATGTTGTCCCCATACACTTCACGAAGCTGCCGATAGATTTCTATCGGTTTACAGTTTTTTGCAGTCAGAAACCTTATTACTGAGCGCACCTCGCAGCTCGCGGGATTTTCAATTAACGCAGACATTTCAAACCGTCACAGTATCTGAACGGAGCACAGCACGAACCTCTCACTAGCACGGCTAGATGCAGACTGAGCTGCGCAACGCTCTGACCCCAAGATGGCCGCGCTAGCCCCGCTTCTAGCGGACACAGACGGAAACGTAATCTACTTCCTGGATGGCCCTCGTATATCACACACAAAAAGATTTTTAGGTAATTACTGTATTTATACTGTGCTTCATAAAGTTTTACGTTAGTTGTATTTATTTAGTCCTTTCAATTTAATATTTGTCTTATATTTATAATTAACTATTATTATTTATATAATTGGTTATAATCATTTATAATTTACTGTTTAATAATTATTATTTATTAATTTTTTAAAGTACATAAAATTGTTATTTATGTACTACAAATACTTTAAGAAATTTTTAAAAACGCGCGAGAGCCAGCTATCTACAGCATTGCCAGAGAAAGGTGACATTTTTGGAAGAACGGCGGGGGAAAACAGCTGCCACTTTCAACTACTGTTTACTCCTAATGCTGTGCGAATTAAGTAAACGGAAACTGCTCATTTCCATAACCGTCAAAGGGTTAAAGGTTTTATTCAACTGAACATTAAAAGTTTTATCTTAGTTTGAGCAAGCTGATTGCAGGGCTGTTTTTGTATTTTCTCATCTGTAATGTAAATGCTGTGTGCTCTAAGAAAGTTCTGCACACAAACAGACTACTATTATCCAAAGTTCAGTAATCAAACTCCGTTCAGGTCTCATTTACTGCCCAGAGTACTAGGTTTTAGGAAAACCAAAAATAATTCTGTAACTTCTCATAACCTGTTTTTTCTTAAGGATTTCTTTTCTTCTTTTCTGTTTTAAGGATTTTTAAATGGTTTATGCATATTTCCTGTAAATATTTTTGTCTTTGCCTCTGAATAATGAGTAAGGTAAATTATATAACTACAGTAATACCTCTCAATAAGGGGACACTGGCCATATCAGGCATTTTATCCCTTAAATAAAGGTTTCTCTTCATCAGAGGGTACATAGTAAAAATATGTAATTTAATTAGAAATTCAGGTTGTATCAAGCTTTAAGTAACATAGTCACAGGTATTTATTTGAATTTGAAATTAATGAAAAATAAAAATTCTTCATTAAAAAAAATTGAATTATTGCAGAAATGTATGAAATGAACAACAGAGTTTTGTACTTACATAAATTTATAGAAAATAATCCATTACATGCTTTTGTTTGAAAGTGAATTGCAAGCACTTTTTTCCATGTGGATATTGTTATGAAATGTCCAGCCGCTGTAAGATAGCTTCCCCCACAAAGCAGGTTTAAGATTGCCAGAAAATGGAAAGGGATGATAGGGTTTTCATATTTGGCGATAAATCACCCATTTGGCACAAAATTGACAATATGCCACAGACCGATGGAGAACCTTCTGGAATGAATTCTTACTGTTTTAGCCCAGAATGTTCTTGATGGCTTGTGTCACAAGTCAAAAGCTATATAAACCCTGCTGGTATGTGGACAGTCAGTATCTCGTTCATCGAGTTGATAGTCAGTGCCTAGTCGAGTCAGTTAAGAGTCAGTGAGCGAGTGCCGAGTTGGTCGTTGAGTGCATCAAGAGAGTCTCTTAGTGTATCTTGAGGTAGTGCATCGGCAAGTTTTATTTGAGAGTGTGTTGAGCTCCGAGAATGACCGAACTGAGTCGGGAGCTGTATTCTAGTGTATCGTCAAATGCATCGTGAGTTGTAGTGTGGAGAGACTTGAGAGTATGTAGAGTTCCGAGAACAACCAAGCAGGTTCAGGAGCTGTACTCTGGTGCTTTGCCTTGAAGCTGTCTTCAACCTTATAGTCTGATGGTTTGAAGGCTGTGTCGTTGATTGTTTCAGCGTGTTTATAGTAACTGTAAACGGGATTTTTGAGTTGTCCTGAGAATACTGCCTAATAAATTGCGTTTTGATACTTCAGGTGTCGCCGTTATTCACTCCAAATCCACTAACCTGTACCGTATACATGTAAAATATGAAGAAGCGTAGCAACTAACAAAAACGTAACAATAATAAAGTCGCTATTGATCTTAAGTTCTTCATTGTCATCAGTAATAATCATGAATTATTTCAATTGGGAGCTGTATTTTAAGCTATCTGTATAGTTTTTTTTTTTGTCACATTTTTCATCTGGATTTTCTTCTTCACTGGTTTCCAAGCTATTTTTATTAAGGCTCACATCATCAACTTCAGTTGAAATAAAAGATTTCATATGGTCATTGTTATCTTCAGTTTACAAATATTCATTGATTTTTAAATACTCTTGCATTTGAGCACTGCCATTGCTTTTGACAAGTTTAAACAATTCATTTTCATCACTAGTATTTTCACTGAGGGCACTCAAAAAAAAAAAAAAAAAAAAAAAAAAAAAAAAAGAATTTCAAAGCAGTGCTAAACACAACTTTGTGATATGAATTTAACAGCTTTTGTTATCCACTAAATGGCATTCAATACATTGACACGTTTTGCAAGCTGATCACTGTTTCTGTGTGGAAAAGAACATGCCGAAAAAATAATTTTGTGTAATGAACATTGAAGCTTCTAATAATACCTTGGTTCAAAAGCTGTAATATTGATGTTGCATTAGGTGGGAAGAAGACTAATTTCACTGATTTCAGTTTTGTGATGCCATGGATCGATAACGATTTTGGATTGAGCTTCGTGGTTTTTTGCTTTTCCAATTGCAAGTGGTTCCTCAAACTGTCCTTACATGTTACAACAATGTAACGTAGTGAGACATTTCTTGGAGCGTTTACCATCAGAGCACTTTTCTCTTTTGAAGCATAGAGTTTTATTCGGCAAAATTTGATAAAATAATCCTGTTTCGTCTGCAATGTAGATGTTTTTAGCCTCACAGCCTTCACAAACTTCATTTACATTTTTTATCCAATCTGTTACATGTTGCACTTCTACTGAATTTTCTTCATCACAAATAGTTGTAAAAGTAATGCTTAATTAAAAGTATTTAAGTAATTTTAAGCTTTTAAATGCCTAAAAGTCTGCTTAAATTTGTCTGACCAATCATTTGATGCTTTGAAGTTCTGTAGTCCCAGACGTTCTGCAACTTCTTTTGCCTTTTCTTGCAATAATATTCCACTTACAGGAAAATTACTTGCTTATACAGAGCAAAACCAGTTGAACACTAATGTATCATTTTCACATGCTTTATCTAATTTTTACAGTCTTGAAATGTTCATTTAAATATATTCATCCATAATAATTTTATTTCTTCTCTATCCTTTAGCACATGGCTTGGTTTTTACTTAGTATTCCATATTTCTGCCTTAAATCTCTCAAACTAAGCTTTTCAGCTTCTGCTACATGAATTAAATCAAATTTTGTCTTTTCCTCTTTGAAGCTGTAACAAAGTAATGCATGTATAATAATAATTTCAAAATAATACACAACTACAAAACTGTGCTTGTTTGGGTCCGCAGTCCTAGCAAGAACTAAGAATGATACAAGTTTTCACTCTACCACATTCTGAGATTCCTGTGCCTTGGCAGGTGGGCTAGTCATTTCGCCATATTTTCTTTCCCATTGGTTCTATATTGGATTGTAAGGCAATCCAAGATAGTTTCCCCTACTGAGAATTGTAGCAAAAATGACTGGATTTTGAACTCTGTGAATGTGAAATATCCTTTTGATTACACCACAACTTGCTTCTGCTATTGTATTGGTCCCTTTTTCATAACTGAAAAGCAGTTTTCAAAAGAGAGGTATTATCTTTTCATTTTATTGTTTCCTTGTTATAAAGCTATCTTTCACTGAGCACAAATTTTCCTTTGAAACTTCAAAAGAATATTAACAGAAAGTATTTCTATTTTTATTTATTTCTCCATTTCTACCATATTTTTTTAACTGATTTTCAGTGTCCCTTAATAAGAGGTAAATACATTAAGGTCCCTATTCAAAGGGACCAGGGCAAATAGAATTGTCCCTTAAATAGAAATGTCCCTTAACAGGGGGTACTGCTGTAGTTATATCAATACATTTTATATTTAATGTTGAAATTATTCAACTTTTTATGTTTAATATATTTTGTCAGGGAAATTATTCTGCTTGAACACTGAAAACCAGCAGAAGTCAAGGAAAATAAAAAATTTTGTGGAAATCCTATGTGCCATATGCCACAAGTTCACTTGTGGTGTAGCAGTTTATCTTTGTTAAAATATAAGGTGGAGAATTTTAACTTTGAAATGTAAATTGTGATAGTGTTATGCAATCATATAAATTCTAATATGTGTTCCATTAACACATCATGCTTATTTATTTATTTGTGTGTGTATAAAATGTCTTTTTGTTATTGAATTGTGATTCAGAAATTTTTAGATATTGTTAGCTGCAGTTCAGATTGCCTATTTCTGCTCCTTTGTAGTTACAAAGACAGTGCCTCAGAAGAAGGCCAGTGTGCTGAACTGGAGGAAGCACAGAAAACTACCTATGTCCAAGGTCAGTGGGTGATTGCAAGTAGTCCCATGGATGATACAAAATATTCAGTTGTAGAACCTTGCATTCCAAGTAATGGAGATTACTCAGCATACATTGATTGGTGTAAGTATAGTACATTTAGTTTTATGTTGTTGAAATTTTCTGCTGCTAAGAGTTGTATTTGGGGTAGTAGTGGTATTTTGTTTCTCCTCCATTGCTGGGAATATTACTAACATGTGTGATTATTAAAGTATTTATGCTTTACCTGTTCTGGTTTTTCTATTTTATAGTCCATATTTTTTATTAGATTTGCTTTTTCAATGATATTGCTTATCCTAATTTTGCGGACACTAAAGATGTCTTTGAAGAAATTCTGATTTTTGCATTATGTTATTGTTATTTGCATAGTCATTCCATTCTATTGTCCTTTTATTTTTCATATGCAATGAAGAGACAGAGACACTGGATAGACAGTCTAGCATGTGTTATTTATCCTACTTGTATGTAGCAGCAATCTCTCTTTCTTGTAAGACATTTAGACCTCAGTTACTGTGTATATGTAGTGATAGCCATCTGTAAAAGTTTATTGTGCAGTGAAGGTGGCAGGTTATCATGATTTAAATGACTTATCACAAGATAGGGTACTAAGTGATCATTAGCTTAACTAATAATATTTCTGAGATATAAACAAAATTTAGATTTTCATGTTTAGTGTGAGAATTGGGGTAAAACATCAAACATAAGTGTCACTGTAGTCATTAAAAGACTGATGGTAATTAGAAAATAATCATCTCCAGAGAATCATTTCGAATAATAGGTATGCAGCACTATTGTGAATAACACTGCATTTCAGTTTTGAAGCCACCATTTAATATCCAGCATGAGAACTGTACAGTGTTCCCTATGTAAATATGGGCTTTAATAACTGAGGCTGCATCCAGTTCTTAATTATGTCATGGCACAAGTTTTGTACCTCATCTGTGCTCAGGAACTACACTACTGGATATCAAAATTACAAATGAATTGCCTGGTCTGATGAGTCATATTTTAATTTAATTTTGGTAGATGGAAGAAAATATCATGAATTGATGATTTCAGTATGTTGGTAAGGGAAATGTTTCCAATAGTTGTATGATGTGTATTCAATTAATCTTAAATTGATTTCTTTATATATCTTCAAACTTCTTGGATTTGTGAATATTATGTTAACTTTCATTTTTAGATGTGATGCACTCATTCATATTGTGTATTTGCTGTAAGTTTTGGTCTCTGTCAATAAGGCAATGCACCATCATTCAGATACACAGATGCAATGTGTGTGGTTTTTTCAGGCTCTGAAATGGCCTGTTTGTTCACTGTAAAAAGTGTTCATCAAGCATAGTTGGATGCCACACAATGCTAATCTCTAACTCAAATAATTTGCAGTGGGAATGCATAATTTAAAAGCAGTTGATAGGCCAGAATTTTTAATTCTAGTGACAAAATGAAAAAATACTTTAATAATACTTGTAAGACATTTTTAGACACTGTAATTTAAATACATCGATGGCTAAATATTAAATTCTTAGACTAACATTTCTCTCAAACAATTCCAAAATTTTTAATTAATCATTAAATAATTTAATTTAAATTAAAAATAAACAAACTATGAAAACTTTCTAAGTTTTCAGAGGAAATTTACGAACTGAAACAAAAATTAAGAATAAATAATAACAACTTTGTCTCTTTCCCTTATATATCAAATTTTTCTTCACCATATAAATAAAAATACATATGTTTGTGTGTAAATAATTGTAAAATTCTTTATCATTTACTACATCTTAACATCTGATGACGTTTCAATTCGAATCAAGTTTGTAGCTTTGGAGAAAATTAGCAGAAATTATTGTAAATTGTCAATGCAGATTGATAAATCAGATTCTTTTCTTATTAATTTTCAGGTGTAAAGAAAAGCTCTGAACATTGTACAGTTGCACGCCTCCAACCTGCACGCAACAAAGTGGTGACTGCTGAAACTGGAAATTAGACAGAGTCTTGGGAAGGGTTTAAGTCCCTTTTTATTCAACTTTAGAAATTACAAATGCGTGCTCTTGACGCTCACAAACTACGCCGACCCGGCGGTTAAAATAAAAATAAGAAACTAAAAAGAGATACTAACAAGTCACTAACTACGAGGCTCTCTAAATGTAACTAACATCACCGCGTTTTACAATACCGCTGATACTTCAGCAAACTCTGAATATTACGTTAAAAGATTAACAAATTGCCGAGGCAAACACACAAGCCGAAATGCGTGGTTCTTCAATTTCTGACTACCTACCTCCGCGCTCGTGAAGTAAGAAAAGCGCACTTCGAACTCGTTTCCTTTCTATTTAACTCAGAATACTTCCGCTGATAATTTGAAACCTTGCGCGTTCTACTAAAAATTTACATCTCTGGCATTGGGCAGTTCCAGGGGAAAGTAAGGCTTGACAGGAAAGATAGTATAAACTTAAAATAAATATAAACCCTAAATTTGCCGCTGCCAGAATTTGGAAAACTTGGAAGCAGGTCCTACAAACGACCTGTTGAAAAGTTTCTACAATTCTGAAACTAAATTTAAGAGTCCTCGTTTACATAAAAAAAAAACTGTTATCTCACAAAAGGTATAATAAATTTTTGTGTATACTTATTTAAATCTCTCTTCTTACAGCAACTTTTCCTGGACTTCAGCAATCAATCTTGTTCTTTCCTTCCAGCATCTGGAAGGAATAAGTATCAGTATCTTCTAAATACATTATAATTTACACTTTCTTGACACTGAATACATTTTTGTTTTTAAACGATTTATTTTCCTTAGTTACTGCTTAATTCACATTCATTCAAGTATTCAAACATTAATTTAACTTTACCCTGGCTCTCCACCATGTGTGGTGTCAAACGGGAATATTCGTGTTTTAGTATTACAACGCTTCCCCTAACCACCATGATTTGTTAGAATTCAACAACCACTCGACATTCACCTTACTCGGATTACACAGACACACCTTACTCGACATTCTACAACTCGATGAGCTACTTTAACATTCTTAAAATTCAAGTGTAGGTGGAGAACCCTACAAAACACATTCATTCTAACTTCCCCCTCATTCATTTTTAGACATGCAGGCTTTCGCTCTAAAGCATGATTTTATCTACAGTTTAATACTTAAATTTGAATTTATTGCTTTTAAGCATTTACATTTAGCATCTAAAATTTTATGCTTCGAGACTAAATTCTACTTTTACATAACTTTCAAGTATTTACATATATTTACAAAATTCTAATACATATGATTTTTTACAATTTACCATAAAATGAATAAGAGAAAAATAAATTTTTACTTTACTCATTCTTCGCCAAGTTGGCGGCACTGAAACTAAAATTCTTATTAATACAAGAATACGAAGTTATTTTTATCTTCGGCCAAATTTTGGCTTTAACATAACAGAATTAGTCTTTTGACCAACAGAAACTGCTTGTTCTTAGATTTATACTGAAAGAAAATAATACTTTTGCCTTAGCTAAATAAAGTAAAACAAAACTAAGTCTCAACCGAGACACATTGACTTTCGTCAAAAACATAGAAACTTCGTATTTACGCATAACATTTTGGAACAAAAGAAAAAAATTTTATAGAAGATTTTAACTTTGAGTTTTCGATAATTGGAACTCTGTTATTCTTTTCTGGCAGAACTGTTCCCACGTTATAGGTTTCATGGACGTCAATCTTCTCCTTACTGACCTCCAACTGACATCCACGCTAATTTGTCTTTTTCGTCCTCTGCATGCTGGCCTCTTGGTGTAGTAGTCGTCAGGTTGCTGTCTTTTTCGTTTTTCCCCTGGACGGCTGGTCTTGGCATCCTTCGGTCTGGAGTCATGCTTGAATTTCTTCTGTTGTTGCTGGTCTTTTCGTTCCTCCTGTCTATTTATTTTCCGGAATGGCGGCCTTGTTTGCACCTGACTCTCTGGCCCTGGGAGCGTTCTCCTTGATGTATAATTTCTACTGCGATACATTTTAGGTGGTGTTTTCCTCTTTATCAAGGTTTCTTTACGCGGTTGCTTTGCATTCTTGTTTTTCTTAAATACTGGAGTCTGAAAGTTTTCGTTTTTTCTTTTTGGTACCGTTGCCTGGGTTGTAGAAGGGCTAGGTCTCTTTTCAGTTCTCTGCTTCTTGGGTGGTGGAACAGGTGGACGTTATTTCTGGACCTTCTACTTCTGTTTACGCTTGAGTCCTGCAAGAAAAACTTTTAAGGATTTCAAAATCATTTGATTATAGTATTTTTTCACATGGTCGGGACTTGCTTTACAGATTTCCCCTCTCTCGTTCTTAAGGTACATACGACTCCTTTGATTTCCTGAATTACATAGGGCCTTCAAATTTTGGAGCTAACTTTGCCGTAAAATAGTCTGGGGCACTTGATAAAGAAAATTTCCGCTTCAATACTTTATCCTCAACTTTAAAATCTGCTTCACGGCGTTTTCTATTGTAATACACTTTTTGCTTATTTCTTGCCGTATCCGAGCTTTTAAGCGCCTGGTCAATAAGTTTTTGCACATCTTTCTGTTTAAATTCTTGCTCTCTTTGCTGCGCAAAGAATAATTTATCTAAAGGCGTAATTAACTTTCGGCCTAAAAATAATTATGCTGGGGTTTTTCCCATAGTATCGTGATTTGCCGTTCTTAAAGCATAAGCTAACTCATTTATGTAGCAATCCCAGCGCTTGTGATGTGTGCTAACGTAACTGCGAATTATTTTTACAAACTCTTTCTGCTATGTTTGCCTGTGGTCTATACGGAACCATTTTGATATGGCGTATGCCAAGTCCAGTGCATATGTTTTCAAATATTTGACTAATGAATTGTTTATCGTTATCGCTAATGACATTTATCGGTGCAAGGTATTTTAAAATGTATCTGTGTAAGAATGCATCTGCGACTGTTTTGGCTGACGCACGTTTAAGTGGAACAATTTCTCTCCGTTTTGAAAAATGATCTACAATTACTAAAAGAAAACTATTTTTATTTAACTCGCTCTGGGGGAAAGGATCAAGAAGATCTATGCCTAAAATTTCATTCGCAAATATAGCGCGAATGCTATTTA